CCATAACAACACACTTCCCAACCTATTCAACCATATGAAATATTATCACTAAATAAATCGAGCAGTGACAAACGAATAGCTAAATAATAATATACTCACTACCTCAGTTGATCCGTGTACAGCTCTTAAAGACTTCCAAGCAGTCTTAACGAAGAAATCATCATACACGGGCAGAAGCATCTCCGTGGACTCAAAATCATTAGAAGGCTCAAGGCTAAATTTATCTGCAGACACCCTAAAACAATACATAAAAAATTCTTAGATACACACGATCTAACAAAACATCAAGATACAAAGAATATACTAAAAACAAAATTTAGCCAAAATAAACATACCCATTAATAAAACTCTTCGCAAGAGTTGTGTTGGGATTAAACAAAATATTCGTTGAGCTATAAGAGTTGGAGATACTAATTTCACCTACATTAAAAAATATATGTAAATAAACTCATTCCAATAGGAAATTACATTTTCAGCTAAGCAGCAAAGATTATGTTAGACAAACCTCTGTATTCTCTAATGCATGCAAGTCTAATGACACACACAACAACAGTGTCAACATGTGCAGCTACATAATCAGCCATCGCTGTAGCGGAATCGTCCTATAAAGTGCATATCAAACGACGATCACTACAGCCACATCATGAAAACAACCACGTATAGATAAGAGATGAAAATAACAAATATACAAACAAATCAAATTATCATACCTTGTATCACGAAGAGTAAGTCTAAGCCTCATGCTGATTTTCCTCTGGGCCATAACCTGATCAACGGTTCCCAAACTAACGATTTGACCTATGACAACTACAAATAAAAATTTGTACTTACTAATCATAAGGATAAGTAAGCAAAATAAATAGATGCTTTCAAACACTTACCAATTAAGTACGACTTATCCAAATCGGTAGACAAAATATCACTGAATGTCTTAAATTTTTTCTCGGGGATGGTTTTCAAAAAATCATGACAATCACTAAACTCGGTGGTCTCATAAAAAAAAAAAATTATAAGGATGACGACTTGTCTGATAATCACTCTTGTACTCAACGATCTTGAATGTATCGACGATGTATACACCACCATAAATCAGCTTATCTTGAAACTTCTTGACACAATCCTTATCAAGAGTAGCATGCACGCGCTCACCCTTGATAATTATTTAGAAGTGGTAATCAAACATATATTTAAGAAGATGCAACACAGTAAAACAACAATAATTTGATCAGAAAAAATCGTAAAAAACTCACATGTGCATCAACGAACACGACATCCATCATCTTCCCAGTTCTAACCCAAAGCTTGAGTACCCCAAACTTTTATCTTATAGCGATCAGTCTATGGAGTCAAATCTTTTATGTTAACCAAAGAACCAGACTTTCTCTTAGAAATAGACATTATCCAAGCCGAACAATGTCAAGTCTCTTTGTAAATATCGACCTAATAAGCTCTTTTAATCAAATTGAAAATTTTTATTGTGTTTTTTTGTATCTTATAGTCAGAGTTGGAAGATATATATCTCCTATATATATATATATATATATATTCTAAGGCCAACGACTCTAAACAATTATGTTATTATCACAAAAAAAAATCAAGCAAATAATCACCAAAAAGTTAAGTAATTAATTATGACCGACAAGGTATATTTTCTAAAATATTATAAATATATGATATATTCTCAAATATATATATATATAATATTTTGTAAAACATTGTTATAAAGGCAAAAATGCACACAATAACAATATCGGTAAGGATGAATATTGTAATAAATCTCAAAAATATATACAAGGCATGATACATGATATTTTCCAATGCTCTACACAACTACGCTATTATCATAACATTTTGTTTGAAATAAATATTCACCAAAAATTTTAGTAATTAATTATAACCGACACTATAACGTATGGTATATTTCCTAATACATTACATATATAAGACTGCTATCCCTAATATAAATATATAACATTTTTAGAGAAATTCCGATAAGAATAAAATTTCTAAAAGTAACAATTTCGATAAGGATAAAGATTGGAACAAATCTTTATATATATATATATATATATATATAACACATGTTACAGGATATTCTTGAAATTTTGCATGACACAAAATATTCTTGAAGTCGTATTGCAAATATCATTCCACCCAATAAAAGTCTTAAATATCATAATAGTCTTTATCGAATCCAAAACTCCATATGCCAGATTTCATGTGAATATTTATACGTTCTCACGATAATACTTCTACCCCTAAAATAAATATATAACATTTTTTAGAAAAATTCTGATAAGGATAAATATTCAAAAAGTTACAATTTCGATAAAGATAAAAATTGGAACAAATCTTAATATATATATATATATATATATATAACGTACATGTCACAAGATATTCTTGAAATTTTGCATGACATAAATATTCTTGAAGTCGTGTTACCAATATCATTCCACCTAAGAAAAATCTTAAATATCAAAGAGTCTTTATCGAAGCCAAAATTCTATACGCTAGAGTTCATGTTAACATTTACACGTTCCCACGATAATATTTTTACAGTCTCATAAAACTTATGCAACTAAACATACCAACTAATACAACGAAAATTCTAACAAACCAATATGATGAGTCTCATTTTTTTCAACCAAACACAATCATATAAGCCAAAAACAACACACAACCATACTGTATAAATTACGCGGTAAATTGATGCTTGACAATGGCATACATAATAAAACAGTAAATTAAAATCTTATATATTAGATTAGATATCAACATAAAAAAACACCAGTCCTAGACTACATAGTAAAAAAACATGTAAACCCAAAACCCAACACCATCATAATATTCGTTAATTTGTAAGAAAAGGTCTCTCGACTAATCCCAAACCAAAACAGACTTCAATGGCTTCAATGAATGATGAGTATAAAACACCATTAATCGTTCTGATATCTTCGAAGCACGTCGGTCCTCTGACAACAGCTAACAATATTCTGAGGTAATAGAGCTCACTACATTATGGCTTCACATCGGGAAGTCCTACCGCATTTCTCCTAGACCTACAACGTCGCAGTAGCCATTCCCTGATGTTCCCATGCCAAACAAACCAAATTGGGAATTCAGAATATAGAAGATGCCTCGACTCTGGATGGTGTTTGGTGTAGCCATCCAACTCTGAAACTAAGACTTTTGAAAATAATCTCCAGGACCAGGTGGTGAAAAATCTTCCGAGAAAATGATGTCCTGGTTCCTCGATAGATGGAAAGGCAAGATAGTCATCTGAGTATCCTTACTGTATAAGACGAAAAAAATTAAGATAATTTTATAAATAAAAAATAATTTCATATAACGACTAAATCCACAAAGAAACCAATGTCATAGACCAACCCAAAACATAAACTGAGATATAACTATAGAGTCAAAAATAGATATAATCAGCTTAGAACAATGACACTCATATGAATAAACACAGTATATATTATACCAAAATTGAGGGTTTGTTACCTTCAAGTCTAATTTTGATAATTAACACAATAAAACAATATAACGCTAATATAATCAAAACGAAAGAAAGACAAAGCAATAAACAGTATCAACAGGTAAAACAATATATTAAATAAATCAAAATCAAATTTCTAACAAAGCAGTAGTTGTAATCAACATACGATGAATTTAAGAGAAAAAAAGTTTAAGCAGCAATACCTTTTCTGCAAACTAAACTCACGATCATCAGCAGCCATAAGCTTAGAAGCTGTATAACCAAAATAAAACGATGAAACCTAATTAACTCTGCTCTCTTGCAAGTTACCTGCGACACAATGAAAACTCCAAGGAGACAAAATTAGAACCATAAAAAACAAAACATACTGCATGAAATAAAAACAAAACCCTAAACTATGACTTATACGTCAATAATAAATAAATAAACATAAGCAGTTGTTTAGATGAATGAGACATATGCGAGTATATATAGCTATTAAAATTCTAGGGTTTTCGTTTTGTAATATAGTTTTGAGAGGCGGCCGATTTTTATAAATGGTCCATCGGGCATCAATTTCAAAAAGCCCAACTGATACATCATCCGAGAACTGGTATAAAATTTAAATTAATATAATCGATTTTCAAATACTAATCAAAGCAAACCAATCGGTTTTCAATCCGAATATTTATACCATGGGTAGAAGGCACATAACTCATCTTAGAAGCGTTGTGGTGCCTTTCTGACTTCGCAAATAATATATTAGATATTTAGAAAAAATTTATAATCCAATTATAATTCATGTTTATTTCATTGTTCCAACTCATAATGTTTAATGTATTACGTACTTTTAATGTGAGGTTTGGATTTAAATTACCATAGACTTCTAATAGTTAATGATTGTTGTAAGATATACTTTATTTATAACATGACGAGGATTTTGTTTTTAAATATATTAATTATAACTGTTAAATTAAAATATCATATTTGCTTTCCCATCCTTTTTTTTTAAATGTTGCTTACATAAATTGCAGCACAAAGAAAAGTAAATAAATTTTAAAAGTTGATAACCGAATTTCTGTAATTCTACTCTTTTCGACTCCACCAGAAAATTTGGTGATCAATATATTTTTTATCTTACTAATTGAAAAACATTTCTTCTACTCTTTTCGACTCAACAGGAAAATTTAGTGACGAATATTTTTTTTAATATTACTAATTTTCTATAGTAAAAATTCTTTTGGCCTTTTAAAAAAGTTAATACTACTGGTGTTGGCTGTGACCTTTTATAAAATTAAAAAAACTATAGTACGTATTCCATTATAGAAAAAAATCAAACCTTTACATGTGTGCAAACAAAAAGCCAGTAACTACGCCTCTGATTAGTGATTACATGGTATTGAATCAATCAATTGTTTTTTTTTCCTTTCGAGGTAAACAAAAAACTTAGATACACAAATCTTTATATATGTATATGCAAAGGCAAAAAAACTAAAGAAAATTAAGTATTAATGTGTCATTAGTGTCCACGGCCTCTCTTGCTTGGCCCAGACGCTAATCTGAAAGCCAGGCTCCTCATCAAAGGAATCCGAGAGCTGTTTGCCGCCGCGGCCGACGAGAAAAAGCTGAAACCACCACCGTCTACGGCGGTAGTTTGATCACAGCCGTTAGTCTCCTCTGTTCTCAGGGCTCTGCAATCAACTCCCGAAATAATCGAAGACATCTCCACCAATAACATGATGCAAAACACAATAAGAATCTTCTTCATCATATCGATCTTTTAACTTCACTTCAGTTTTTTACTTTCTCTTTCTATGTCTCTCTCTCTGTGAGAATGTTGGCTTTGTGAAACGAGTTGTTGAGTTATGAGATGAAAGGCTTGTGTGTAGTATATTTATAGTTGTGTGTGCGTGTGTAAGCAAAGAGCATTTATTGACCAGGAATTAAATGTTAAACTAATTGATTTGGACTTCGCGTTTTTATATATAAGTATATATGTATGCTGTATGTCATTGAATATTTCAGGTTTCATCTTTTTTTAAATGTGTATTCATATTTCTCCAATTTACTTACTTGTCTTGGCTAAGGGGTATTCTTTTGTTGAACTCTGACTTTGAAAAAATTAAATTATATAAAGGAATTTTAATAATTATAATAAAAAAGAGGAATTGCAGAGTATTACAAAACGTTGTAAAAAGTGGAGTTTTATTTTCTAGTTGTGTCCAATGTGAAGAGACAAAATGTTGTTGAACGAATGAAACTAACAAAGAAGCGTTGAAGAAAAAGTCATAAGAGTGTGTTTTGAGTTGTCAACTTTTGACTTTTGTCCGACGTCGGATTTTGGTTATTACGGTGAAGTCGCGTTCGTCGGGAGAGGCAAAAAGGTAATTTAAGTAGCGAATCCCCTGTTCTTTTTTTCGCTGTCTAGTTATGAGTTATGACGTGGCACCGTCTAACCTAGTGTCACATGGCCACTCGTTAACGTGTTTTGATATTTTCCGGTTGTCTTCATCTTTTTGTTTTTCCGTCCGTATGATTTTACTTTTCTTATGATTTTTGTACTTCAAATATAAAACTTAACCGCAGTTATAGCTATAGTTAGCCGACAAATTTTTTTTTCTTCTATAAGACTATAGTTATGCTTTACCATGGTCCATCGATAATACATAAGTCATAAAAAAGCAAAGACGAGTGCAAAACAAATTCATTTGTCTAAAAAAAACGCAGATAGAAAGAAAAAGATATTGCAAAAATAGCGGAGAACTACTTTAGAGACAGTCAGCAGTACTGTATTTGCGAAATTTAGACCAACTTTTGAACAAGGTAATTATGGTATGAAGCTAATTAAATGAGACTATCATTATCATAAAGAAAAAAAGGCCGATAAAATGATGGATTTAGAACATTTTTATTTTAAATCTACATATAATTTTTTACTATATTAAGTTAGATATACCAAAATTATTTATTTATATGATTCTGATTCATGGTAAGTCAATTGATCAGATTTTAATACATATATATATATATATATATTGCGATTAAATAAAAGATAAAAAGATATTAGAATATATTAAGAAAAATAAAATAAACATAAACATAAAAATTAATTTTAATTTAGGATAATATAAATTAAAACACCAATTTTTTATTAAAAAGTAAAATAATAAATTTAATTAATAAAAATATAATTTATTCTAATTTTATGATTAATATATAAAAAAAAGAAATATATGAATCCTATGTATACAATTCAAAAAACTCACTCTGAAGCTGAAATAAAACTTAGAACTGTAACACGTTAAAACAAAACTGTTTTCAGAATTTTAGATTTGAGCATAAATACTTAGTTTGATTTGTGGCTTGACAGTTAGAATATAGTGAAGTGAAATCAACTGGAAATAATGAAATAGGATTAAAGATTGTATTTTAGAAATCGGATAATTTGGATACTTTTCAGATATTGGATTGGATCGGATAATACCCAATACCCGAACTCCAATAGACATATTTTTTGTTTGGGTATTTTGATGAATCCAGATCGGATAATTTTTGGGTCGGTATCAGATTGGATTTTTGGATCTTGGTAAAATGATCACCTCTAAAATTCGGGTTTGAATTAGCTTCGCTTTTTTTACTTATGCTGCATGATAGACATAGTTTTAATCCTATAAAATTATTGGATGTGCACATCAAATATTGTAATAGAGATTGATGGCTCGATTGGTGTAATGGCTGTGAAGACTGTAAGTAATTTTATAGTATCTATAGCTATTTTTTAACTAATCACATTTTACTATCATATTTTTACTCTCTAGTCTTTAAAGTCTTTATTAATATTTCCTTCCTTTTTTTTTACAGCAATTGTTAAACCAGAAAATCATCATTAAGGATTTGATTAACAGTTGTGAGTTTCAGAGAACAAGATCTTTTATTAATAGCTATAAAGCAAAGTGGTTACAAGAGATGGCTTAACCGAGAGGTTATGCCAAAGTGAAAAGAATGTTTACGAAGTAAACTAGAAAGTGTTGGAGTTCTTGGTTTTAACTCTGCTGCTCTCTAGATTGTATGAGTTGTTCTCTTCAGCTTCGGGGTCTTCTTATTTATAGGGATAGGAGGTCGGTTGCTCTGAACTCCTTTTTCTTTTCTCTTTGGTGAATATTTCTATATTTGCGCTATGAAAATATCTCTTATTCTCCGAAGAATATGAAAATTCTCTTTTATCCTTTGAGTTAATCTGATGCTTCCGAACTTCCAAGATTATCTTTTAGGAGTTTTCTTTTTATCCGAGCTAGGTCGGCGCGGTCTTCTTAGTCTTGGTGGGCTTAGGTTATTGCTAGAGAAAGTCTTTTAGGAAGTGTGCTCATTTCCCCTCTAACAGTAAGCCCCCCCCCCCCCCCCCCCCTCTTGTTCGGCAAGACTGATTGTAAATCAGGTCAGCGGACTTCATGAAGTTAAGTGGGTTTGAGCTCGCAATAAGCATCAGTTCGTGAAGAATGTTTCTCCGCGATGGCCAGCTCGGCCCAATTTTAAGCGGACTTTGACACGTGGTGCTTCCTTTGAATAATTTATTAAGAATCTCGACACTCATCCCTTAAGGAAACTGTTGATATTTCTTTTGATTTTATTACCAGAATTTTTATTCTCTTCTGATTCGCTTTGCAAAATTATCTCTTCGCTGTAAAAATTCTTACTTTCTTGCTGATCCTCTTTCTTCTTCTTCTTCTATCTTCCCAGAAATTTCTCTTTTTGAAAAATGTCGATTTCATCGCACAGTTCTTCTTTCGATGACGATGAAATTTCTCTTGCTGAGCGCGCTAGGCGAGCCTGGGTTAGCCCAGTTCCTTCTTTTCCCTCTAATTCTGAGGGGTCTTCAGGTTATCGAGATGAGATCTTGCCGGATAATTCTGATATAGACTCTGAGATGGAATCGGAGAGTGCCGAGCTAATAAGCCGGGTCGAGGGTCTTCCGCAGAAGATCGCGATGTCAAAGCACAAGACCGGCATTAAAGACGGGAGTAGCTGGATGGCCGCGGAAAGGCTTCAATAGCTTTGGTCGAAGTGCTGCTTTCCTGAGGGAGTTGAGCTTCTGCTCCCTCAAGTTCACGAGAGAGTGACAACGCCGCCGCCGCCAGAAGGTTATTTCTGCATCTATGAATGCCACTTCGCAGACTTCGGTATTTGATTTCCCATTTCACTACTTCTCCGGTACTGCGAACAAAGGAGGATGCCGGTGGCGCAACTGTCTCACGCCGTAATCCGCCATTTTAAAAGTTTAATGGCGGTTGCTCGAATGGCGGTGGTCCCTTTCAACTGGGATATTTTCGAGAGGATCTCGATTCTGAAGAGTGGGAGGCTGAACTGCGGGGGATGGCGTTATTTCTAAACCACTCTGAAGTATGGTATTGTCGGCGGGGACCCGGCCAGCAAAGTCCACGAGTGGGACCGCTTTTTCTTCTACGTGAAGATTAATGAAGCGTCCACCGGCAGTTCCAAACTTGATCTATTCAGATCCTGGAGGTCGAAACCTTGTAAGCCGAGCTGAACCTTATTGTTTATTTCCTGCTTTTTTTGGTTAGCTAATTTCGAGATGGTAATAATGTTGCCTTCTCTTTTTTCAGTGCAAATCAGCCTCGGGAAGGACCCGTTTGGCTTTGATGTGGACGTTCAGAAGCTGTGTAACCTGAGCCAGGGGCTGTGGCCCGAAAAGGAGAAGAAGGGAGCCTGCGAGAAGAAGAAATCAGCTAAGCCAGCCGAGAAGCAAACTAAGTCTTCAAAAGCAGGTTTGTTGCTGGCGTCGAAGTAACTTTTTCTCTTTTTCTTCCCCTTTTTCTTTAGCGAGGTGTCTTATTTGCATTTTTTTTAAATATTTTCAGCTGCTAAGAGGGCCTCACAGCTGAGATCCGAAGGGGTCGGTCAAAAGAGGAGAAGGGCGGCTCCGACAATGGGAGGAGATATCCCTGCGAGCTCCCCTACAAAGCAGAGGAGGACAACTCCTCGAGATCCGCCCATTTGGGTGGATTCTGACGAAGCCGAGCTAACTGCAGAAAATGGGACTCTTGCGAGGTAAACCCTTATCCTTATTGTATGTTTTGTTTTGGCGAGCCGAGATGATTTTTTGAAAATTTTGTTGCTGGTATAGTTTCTCCAAGGGCCGCGGCGCGGGAAAGGTTGAGGCAAGCCAGGGCCGAGAAGGCTACAGGGGACCCTCAAGGCGAGGCGTTTCAAGAGACCGATCCTCGAACTGAGGATGAGGGTGATGGAGACTCCCAGAATGCTGCCGCGAGCTGTCGCAAGGCTGTTCCCTCACCGCCCCGGGCTAACGTTCCTCAAAGTCCCAGGGTTCAGGATACAGAAGATACAGGTCGTCCAAGGACCGAAGAAGTCACTGCGGCTCGTCAGGAGGCCGAACTTCCACCCAAGGGTTCTGCTTCCCCAGAAAGTGCTGGTTCTCCAGGTTCTGATGGCGCCGGTCCAAGCGCTCCTGTCGAACCTAAGCAGGAAGAGGAGCTCTTCGATTATAACCCTCATCACTTCAGCTTGAAGTGGGAAGGAGCTACTCTGGCAATGCTCAATCGCGATTTTGCTGCAAATCTGATCTGGAAATGCAGAAAGAACCGAAGGTGGGGTAAACCATTGCGAGAGCTGAAGTTGGCGGAGTCGATATCCTCGGTGAATAATCTGATAGCCCGGGTATATATTTATCATTTGATGCTAGTGTGT